AGAGATCAGCACTCCCTCTCCACTTCTCTTCCTCAGGGAGCTGCAGAGAGCAATGAGGTCACCCCTCAGCTTCCTTAACATAAGGATAACATAATTAAACATAAGGATGTGGCTTTTACAGGCAAATCCTTGAGCCACAGATTGCTGGAGGCTGGGAAAGTACTCTGGTGAAGCTCTGCAAGATGCATGAGGGAGAGAGTGCCTAAGATCATACATAGGGAGCATCTGCTGTTCGGCTGCTATCAGCAATTGGACACTGTTTAGACAAGGCTTTGGGCTCTCCCAGTAGAGCAGCTCTTCTGTACCTGCAGATTATAAACCCAGCAAACGCTTGGACTAACATTGGGTTAATTTTAGGAATAGCTGCTTTTTCCCCCTGCACATAGCTGGGCAATATTTTTTCAACAAATGACTTGTTTGCTTTAAATAAATGCAATTTCTAAGGATCCAAAGTGATGCAAAAAATTCAGGTCAAATTCCCTGAATAGCTTCCGCCACCAAAAAAAGCAACAAACACTCTGAAGGGCTGAGCAAATCACATGGAGAAGGGTTGGAGTCCTTCAGAAACACTTCCTTTTCACTATTTCCAAAAAGCTTCTATTTCAGGCACTTCCCATATACACCAGGGATCAGCTCCTTGCAAGTCTGAGAAGCACAGACCCAATTTGCTGCTCTCCCCTGGGGCTACATTCCCCTCCCCAGGGCTCCCTCCTCACCACCACGCTCCATCGTGCCACAGGAACCTGCTCTCAGCCTGCCAGGGCTGGTGCCATTCACAGGAGCTGCTTTGAACATCCATCAGACTGGAGCAAAACCACAAGATGGTTCCAGCTCTGCCACAGTCCTCTCCAGCCTGTACTCCAGACCCCAGAGATCCCTTTGCTTGAGCCACATCCTAAAAAGTTTCCACACTGAGTGCCTCTGCTTCCCACAGCAGCTGTGGTGCTCAACAAGCTGCCTCCTGGGCAGTTGATTTTTACAGGTCCACCTGGGTTTCATCTCATTATCCCCCTCCCTCCCCAAACCACCAGTTGCAGCTGAGCTGGAACAGCTTCCTTTCCCATGAGCCTTGAAGAAAATGACATTTTTCTGTGCAAGAATTAAAGTGCCAAGGGGTTCTTCTGGCTTTGGAGGAAAGTTCCCCCAAGTGGCCATCCCATTCCAGGCAAAGGAGGAGACACAGCATTTCGGGCAGGTAAAGTTATGGCTAGGAGGGTTTGGATGCTGCAACCCAGATCCTGGTAACAGCAATGCACCAGGTTCTCCTTTCACACTATAATCTGCCCAAACAACTTCATTTGCAGATCCTTGGAGAATATTCAGGGTCCTACAGAATCAAAAGCCCTCCGACCAAAGTGTTGCTGGATCCAGATGCCAAATGTTGACTTTTGCAGCATGCCTTTGGGTTTGGGCTGATTTTCACTTTGAAAGGAAGGCAGCACTCCATGGCTTTCACCGATTTCACACAGCATCTCCAAACTGGGAATCTATCATCAGAAGCCCAGGGCTTTCCAGGTGGAAGTGTCTCCCTGCAATCCCAGTTCAGACTCTCTCATATCCAGAGGGGCTAAGAGCATCCTCATTTCATTTGCAGAGAAGGCACAAGCATTCATAATCGGGTGCCTGAATAAGCATGTAGATATCTAGCTCTGAGTGAATATCTCAGCTTCCAGAGTATTTTGACTAATGTAGTACACACTGACCCAAATTTCGGGAACAGAGAGGCTCATTGATTCAGACTGGGTAGAACACAGCACTCTTGTGGGGGGACGCATTTGAAACTAATTAAAGATTGCTCCCATCAAACCCACTTCTGTCCCTCTTCATACCCCCCAGCACAGAAGTCTCCTTACTGGGCCAGCCCTGAGGGCTACTGGACCATCTCCCCTCACAGGGAAAGGATCTCTTCTCTCCAGGGCCACATTTTGGGGAGCAAAGCAGCATTAGCACATCCTGATTGTGTTTAACTCCTGTTATTTTGTAGAGTGCTTCATGAAACCTTAGTCTTTCTAAAAGTATTTTCTTCGACTAAATCCCACTCCATTTTCTTCAGGCAATAAATGAATTTTGTTTACAAAGTACTTCAACAAGACTTGAAATTTCATTTACGGAAAATGGGCCTCAGACTTTCAAGGCATCTGAATCCATGCTGAAATATGGCAATTTCAAGCACTTACCTGTCTCCTTCCTGCAAGTCTTTGAATCAAAGGTTACCATGACAACGAAGCCCACTCTCAGTCCAGCAGAATGAGTTGTTTTTACATGACGTCATTATTAGCCAGGACCCAACAAAATTACGCAAATGAGATCCCCAGACAGCAGGACTGCAGAAAGCCCAAACAAGCAGCATAACAATTACACTCTAAACTTAGCAAAGAAAGGAAAATGTCACCCAACTCCCCAGCAATAATGCTTTAAAAACCATCCCAAAAAGGCTAACCTCCCCCCAGTACCCCTGCAGGGCTACAGATGTAGACCAGCTCTGCCCTCTTACAAGTTGAACTTGATTTCCACCCTAGGAGGTGGCACAGTTGCCTGCACATCCCAGCAGACAGCCACTTGTGCTCCCAGTGGGGGTGCTGACTCCCAGCACTCTCCCAGGAAGCTGGTTTACATTATGCTGTCTACATGGAAACCCAGAAAGGGAGAGGAGTTGCTGCTTTGGGTGAAATGCAGCTGCTCACCACCCTGACCTCCCCATGGCCGTTGCATGATGCACATTGGGCTCCTTCCACCCAGCACCTAGAGCATCCTTGCCCCAAAGCAAGGAACTTTACACATCTCTGCTCCTTACCTGGGACATCACAATGCTGCCATGTAATGACAGACCCCCATCTCAGGGTGTCCCCTGCCCAGGGCCACCTCCAGATCAGCCTCCACATCTCTTCTAGGCCAGGGACCTAACAAGCCAGCTGCTTAGAGATGCTTCCCTTTATAACCACGATCAGGTGAATACAATCCTCTCCTCCAAATGAGTATGTGAGTGAGGCCCTCCACTCCTAGGTGATTGAGGGTTCACACTTGAAAATGAGTGTGTGCTGGCAGCGGCTGTTCTCCAGAGGAGGGAGAGGGAGTCACTCAGCAATGAGTTGCTATAGATGGTCATTCAAGCATAATAAATCCTCCTTATCAACCCTGTCTCACTACCCCTCATAATTTAAGCTGGGTGTAATAAGGCAGTGTGAAGGCAAAGGCTAGCTTTACAGTCAAACTGGGGATTACAGCCTGGCACGGATATTTAAAGGTTCACAATAGCAAAGAAAAATTGGAGGAGCTGAAACAGCTTCCCTTGAATGCTGGGAGGTGGAAATTCCAGCGCAGGACTGGGCTGATGTATAGCTAAGCTGGGGGTCAGACTGGAGACTTACTGCTCCCAGGCTTCTTGAGCAAGAAAAAAATTGTGCATTGTATTTAAAGAAGGTTTCTGTCTGTATTATATGTAATTTTATATATCTTTTTTTTTTTAAATCCAGAACACTGTACCCTTTTTTTCTTTATTTCTCTTAGTAAACTCAGCAATACTATTCTGTCTCCTATTCTCACCCATTTCTCACAAAAGCCCAGGAACTACTTTTCCCCTTATAAGCAACTTGCCACTCTGCATAGGAGCTAGGAGCCTTTGCTTTCTGATTGCCTCATTTATGAAGCTAGTCCTTCCCAGACTTAAGCCTGAAGTTTATAGCACCACATCTGAAGGAGAGTTTGTAGGCCTGAAAGCTTGGCTTCTTTTCCCCAGCTGTGTTATCCGTGTAATAAAAAATATTGCTTTTTTTCTACCAGCCTTGCCTCACTTATGTCCTTAGACTATCAGGGCCGCAACACCACCTCTGCTGAAACCTCTGCTGTCAATTCCTAGATTGCTATTTAGCAGGGATCCCAAAGTGCTTTTATAAAATGCCTGATGCCCAGCAAGCTCCCGCACCTCTCCCCTTCTGAAGAAAATCACCCAGTGCTGGTTTTTGGAGACGTTTTCTCTCTGCTGGCCAAAAGGGTGGCTGTGGGGATGGGGGTGGCGCAGCCCCGTTCAGCCCAGGGTCCCTGATGTCCCTGGGCTGGCTGGCTCCCCTGTCCCACCCGAGTCCTACGGCTGTGTCTTCCACACCACCACTACAAAACTCCCATCAGAGCCCCAGGTGTAGGGGGGCATCTGAATCCCATGTGGTGCTCCTCCCTTGGAGCAGGAACCACAGCAATACGAGGGGTAGACAACCACTAGAGTCCAAGAATGAGACCCAAGGAGCCCTATGGTTCTCACACCAGAGGTGTTTCCCCTGCCCTGGTGTCAGAGCAGGGCTGGAGAAGGTTCCTTCTCCTTCTTCCCCTGACCAGGGGGCTTAGGGAGGCATTCCCTGCTGCTGTGGGGTGAAGGAGCTTTGCTGGGGTTGACACCCACACCCATCCCTCCAGACACATTGCCCAGGCCCTTCCACAGCCCATCGCTTGCTGCCGGCTTAGGGGTGGAGAAGATGAAGACACCTCCATCCCCATGAAGCACACTGAGGAGCCACAGAAGGAGCTGAGCGAGTCCATGCTGGGAAGTGTGGACCACCAAGTGTGAAAAGGGAAGGTGGTGGGGGCAGGAGGAAAGTCACAGCCACTTTTTCCCACCTCTGACTGCAGCGAGTGTGTGCTTGTGGCAGCAAAGCCCAGGATCCCCCAGGAGGCCCCTGCAGCCCCCAGCCTGCCAACGCGTGAAAGCTTAGGGAAGAATGAGTCCCAGCAAGCCACAAATCTGCCAGGTGAGGGTGTTCTTCAAGGAGTGGGGCGACCGCAAAGTCCCAAATCATGTTCCTGCTGACAGGCTGCTGATGGATGAGTTCGGTCAGGAGGAGCTGCGCTTTGCAGAAGAAAGCACTGTTTGCTTACAAGGCAGCCACCATGGAGAAGGTCCTGGGAAGAGCCCCATGAACAGGAGTTGTGCAGCATTGGACCTACATGTCTTACAGAGTGAAGGAACCAGAGAAGAGGCATTCCTCTTCCTTCCACAGAGGGAACCCTACCTTGATGCTGGGGTTCCTGATGGTACCACCCAAACACATGAAGGCTCGCTTAGGGCTGGCTGTGGGGCACTCACTACACCTCACGAAGAGGTGGTTGGCAGAAGTTGTTTCTGGAACAGCTACCATTTGAAGGCGGAAGATGACCGCTGCACCCCAGGGCACCTTTTCCTTCACGGGGCCGTGGGGCTGAGCCATCCCCACCAGCCACGTTACAGCCTGGCATAAGGGACACGTTTATCCGCTCCCCAACATCTGGCACCTCGGGAGCCACACATCAAGGGTTCCTCCCGCCCTGAGCCCTGCTGTGCTATAAGCATCTAATAATAAAACCCAGCTATTGCATTCCGAAGACACCTGTCAGGCTGAGCACTAAGTGCTGGGGTAATAAATTCTTGCTCAGCTATGCCTCTTCTCCGCCAATTCTCCTGGCTCTGCCTGTTTTCATTAGTATTTCTTTTCTGTGGACACTGCAATTACACTCTGTTCCTCTTCAGGGCCCTTGTTCCAGGTTCAAATAGAGAAGTGATAATGCAGGGAAGCTTTTCACATGGCTGTTTATTTTTGTCTTCTGAGTCAGGAAGATCTTTTCAGGCTGGGATCAACCCTGTGCAGTTTTGATTGAGGAGGGACTCGGGCCGGGGA